CCATAGCACTAAGCATGTAATCCTACATGTGTCTACTCAGAACTATTGAGTTCAATGGACCTTGCTCCCAGTTACACGGGTCTAGAAATTCAGCCTAAAATGTAAATTATGAGTCATCGCTCTAGAAACTTCACAGTTGCCCTGCTGCAAGCTATGGGAGTAAGCACACATTCCAACCCAGCCTTCTACTTTTATATGTCCTTTTTTGTGGAATTGGGTAAATACTAATAAGAAAAATGGTTCTAGTGTTCATTCTGGTAGTAGCTCACCATAAATAGCCATATCAATCATATATAATTAAGCTGTCAGTTTCTCATTTGGGAAGAATGGTTGCAACCATGTATAAAAGCAAATATACATATCAGAATAATGTGACTTGCTCAAGACAAAAGTATATTTATGGTCCATTTTGTGGGTCACAGAAAACTGCAGCCTATTATCTTTATTCCTTAAGCCAGATAGAAAGAGGCTTTAAAAGACTTGTTTCTCCATTTCCCAGCTAGTGGAAATTTAATTGCTTAACAGTTTAAGTAATCGCAGGCAAATCTGATAGCGGATATTTAAACCTATTCTAATTACTCTTCCCCCAGTAAACATAAGGCCCTATGCAAGTGGTCATTAGAGCAGTTTAATCTGTGCCTTAGGTATTCCTGTCAATGCATACTGCTTTGTTTACAAGCAGAAAATAAAGAAACAGAACCAGGCTATTTTAGTACTTGGAAAATATAGTTGTTGCTAAGTTTTCAAGGGGGAAGATCTAGTTTTTTTAAAAAAATGAAAAAAGCCTTTCATATTTTTCAAAGAAAACACTGCCATGTCAAGTTGCTCAGTGTTTGCTTCTTTTGGTCAACAATTTTGTCTGAGCATGACAGCAGTGTAGATTGCGATTGCCGATCTGTTAAGGTTAGTCATTGGCTGCTGGTCCCCTCAGTGTCGCTGATGACAAGCTGCGAATACCCCCTCCAGTTTTTATCATCCTTCCCCTTAAAATGAAATTAAAATATAAGATGTGCTCTGTGCTGCATTGCTTCAGATCTCCACAGGGTAGCAGAGATAAAGCCACAAGATTATTTCTCACTAACAGTCATTGATGACAGCGAGTGAAATTCATGGTTGGGCTCAGGAGTCTATGTCCTCCATATGTTCATAGAATTATAGAGTTGTAGAGTTGAAAGGGAATTGTAGAGTTGGAAGGGACCTTGAGGATCATCTAGTCCAACCCCCTGTGATGCAGGAATATGCAGTTGTCCCATACGGGGATCAAACCTGCAACCTTGGCATTATCAGCACCATGCTCTAACCAACTGAGCTATCCAGGTTGCTGAACATCAATTCCTAAAAGCCCCAGTCGGCATGGCAAATAGTGAGGGATGCTGGGAGTTCCGACAATGTCTGGAAAGCCGCTAGTTAGCCACCCCGGGTTGAATTAGGATGAATCAGGGTACTCTGGTAACATAAAACAAACCAGCAAAGAAGTACGCAGGAACAGCTGGATCTTGAACCTTGCTCCTAGTCCCAAATGTTACAAATCCAAATCCACATTTAAATTATGGATATTTTATATGAATTAAAAAATCTTTACGAAAGGTTGAGCTTCCCTGCCACTGTTGGACAGAGAAACTGAATCTAGATCTTCATGTAAGTCTTATAATGGGGTTCAGATCATGGATTTCAGAAGAGACGAAACTACAAGTTCTGATGTAATTGTTCCATCTGCTTTCTAAACACAAAAATCTTCCATTTTTTATACTCTGTACAAACAGGGATTTCACTGTCCAATAAACCTGTTTTAACACCTCTCGAATAGCCTCCCTTGTACCTGTCTAAACAGACTAAGCATGTGTAAATGGTAATTATCCGCCATAGTAATTACCCACCCATTCCCATTAATTGTGGATTGCTGCTGGGAAAACTGTTTATAATGCCACAATGAGCAACATGTGCTTATGGATAATGATTGTTCAATATGATGGTTCTCTTAGGAGTCCTTTACCAATTGCTTTAAAGGTGTGCTCAATGTGCCTAAAATTATAGTGGCCGCAATGTTCTCCAAGGGAATTCAACACCTGCCATTCATTTTGGTGGGGCACTTTCACAACCATCAAGTGCAATGTTACTTGTAACCTTTTGTAACTATCACCTGTAACCTTACTCACTTCCAAGTTCTACCATGCAAATTTTCTTGTGTTTCCAGCTTCTAAAGCATTGTATAGTTATTTATTTAATAATTAATAATTAAATATCCTCCCCCAAGCATTATCCATTGAGAAATCACCAAGATAATCAACTATGGTAATTCAAGGCCCAGCTAAAATCTGTCATTTATATACTAATATTGGCAAAGCTTTGTCCTCCTCCTATAAAGTCCTGGCTTGCTTCTGTTATTAATTATCTTAATACAATTAGTAGCATTTTACTTGCAGATGTTCCACAGGTGGAACTTGGTGTGACAGAAGAATGTGTTTCGGCAGCATCTTCAGCAAAGAACTTGTGATGAATGATATGTTGAATGTTTTTACGTGGCGTAAGTATGGTGAAAACAATCAATGAGATATTAGCATTTCTTAAAGGTCCCATTTTTCAGAAGGACCGGTATAGGCATTTTGTAATAGAAACGAGCTGCAGATTGAGAGGAGGAAGAGCAGCAAGAAGCAGCGAATAGGAGGGGGCATTTAATCATTCCTTTGCATGTTGCTTCTGCTCTGTGACCCACCCATCCCTTCATTCTAACAGCTTTTGTTCTACTTGGGTCCTAGATGTCTATGTTTATCATGTGTGTGTGTAAAAGCTGTGGAAGGATGTGACCAGGGCAAAACAATAACTTGTCTGCCCTGCTGCAGTGCTGAGCATCAGCCTTGTCCCCTGCAACTTTGGCAAACTGGAATCCTAGATCCAGTTGCTTTCACAAAGCTTACAGGGATGTTAGGCCATGTCCAATCATTAGCACTGACCACACATTCTGATTTGCTCACATAAAGCTTATGCAGAGGTTAGGCGATATCCCGTCTTGGCTGAGGATTTGTGGCAACAATTGGATAACAATGGACATTTATCTTGATTTGTTTGCCTAGTGGTTATACATCTTCCCACTGATCCACCATTCATTCCACACTTTTTAGAGCATTTCCTAAATAGGTCACTATGAAATGTATGTTTCTTAAAAAGTAGATTTGTTACAACAGAGTGTTTTGTTGCAATAATAATAATAATAATAATAATAATAATAATAATAATAATTTATACACTTCTTATATGCCAAATAGTGCAAACCTAAATTTCCAATATATGACTGAATCTCTCCTGCAAAATCCCGACATTCTGGAGGTGACCCAGGTCTGTCCAACTTGGCCTTTAAATAGGAATGCTTGAGAAATCGAGTCTTTACAAATTCTATTTATTCATTTGGAATTTACTTATTCACCCAGAGGATGTTAACATAACAAATGTGAAGAGCTGGTCGATTAGGTTTGGGGGATGTAGCAGCAATGAAAAATATAGCAAGCTATATAACATAAATGCTGCTAGCATTGCCATTTTCCAAAATGTATAGTGTTTATTTCTTGTTATTGTTGCAAAAAAATAATAATAATACAGATAGGTATGTCTGATTTGTTTGGGTTTATTGATATGCCTCCATTCTACAGTGAGCCATGTCCAAAGAAGCTTACAACAAACATTTGCTTATCAAAGTACAAAGCACTAGGTTGGGGAAGAGAAGTCAGTTTACAAAACATATCAATACATTCAAATAGGGCAAAAACCAGCAACTTAGAAAACATGGGGGGAGGGGAATCAGTACTGTATTACAAAATGAACAATCTAGACTTAAACACATCTGTATCGAGTGAAATAAGAATTAACAAAGTATAAAGCCAAAACTGCTAGTGCAGGTCTAATTGCAATCCTAGGAGCCCCAGCAATTTGTTTTAGAGACAGTTCAGAGGGGATGGGGCCTCTCACCTGGCTAGACAGCTTACAGCTAGTTCCTTCTTCCCTCTTCCAAAGGAGATCAACAGCAGTGAAAGAAAATTGCTGGAAATGCTGAAAGTGCAGTGGCAGAACACATTTGTTTTGACTTGTTATAATTGTGAATGAAAAGTATTCAGAATCCCTTCCTTTGCTCTCATTGTTGGTCATTCTGTTCTGCAGTAATATAAACTGTTAATTAATTTTTTTTAAAAAAATATTTTTTTTTGCTTTTTTTGGTATTCCTATCTCTTCTTCCTTGATCTTCTACTTTCTCCTGCTTTGATTCCTCATATTAAAAAAACAACAACCCTTCATCCTATTGCTGATCCTTGTGTACGCTATAGTCCCCTGCATTAGGCTACATAAAATCCAGTGGGATAAACTGGTAGGAATGTACATCAAAAGAGATACAATAGCAAATCCATTGAAGTTGTGCAATTTCTTCTCTTCGCTCTGAAGTCATTAAGAGGGAAAATTTTCTTTCAGTGACTAACGTGGATTTACAGGCAGCCCAGCTGAGACACATAAAGATTGGCATATATCAATAAAAAGTCAGGAAGTTAGGAGGCTGGGGGGCAATCCGCCCTGTGTCTGCACTGATAGATGATGCATTTGACTAATATAGAAGTCTTCAGTAGGTTAAATAGATTTCACCTCACACAGAGGTGAATTTTTTCAGAGACGTTGTTGATCTTGCTTGTGAAAAAAACGTTTGGCAGGGATGATGAAGATCCAGTATCTCTTGACTGAATCCCTCTTCCCACCAAAACAGAATTTTGCATTTGTTTTCTTTAACTCTTATAGTAACTGTGCATTATTACAAGGGCACCCGTGTCCTCAGGAAAGGAGACATACTTGTAGTCTCTTATCCTTCTCAGGTGTTCTTAAGGATCAAGATGAACCTTAACATTCAGCATTAAGTTGTAGAAGGTAAAATTGCTTCAAGACAACAAAGACAAGCAGAGGCATGGTTCCTCAGCCCAGAACTAGCTGTTGTGGACACAACTGGTCCTTCTCAGTCAGCTTCTAGGCTATCTGCAAGGCTTTGGTCCTTCATCTATGACCCAGTGTTTCCTGAAGGCGTTCAGGGTTCCCTCCAGGGTCTCTATTCCACCCTTGCTTTCTCCAAACCACACTCTGGTTGTTCCGATGTCTCCAGCAGTTGCCCTCGCAAAACACCATTTACACTGAACAATGGCAAGGCCTTGGTCCAGGCTACAGATAGTTCCACCATCTTCATTTCTCCAGAGTGTCTGAGGACCTTGCTCCCAGTCACCTGAAGAAGAATAAGGGATATTGTGAATGGGAATTAGCATCAGCCCCTGTATGCTCATGCTAGGTGACAGCCCTGTGCCTATTTCTTGCTGTTATGCTGGTCCCCATAATTTGTTGTTGTCTCGGGGGGGGGGGGGGTAGAAGATAGGCTTTGTCGACATGGATTAATGCTCTGAAGTCTGGCTGCACTAGTGCCCTTGGTTCCTTTAAAAAAAAATAATATTTATTAATTTTCAACCATTTAAACACAACAAAACAGAAAGACAAAAAAGAAAAAAGAAAGAACAAAAAAAAGAAAAAACAGAAAAACATAAAACTAACAAAGCATGACACAAACCATTTCAAACACAGAACAATTTCAATGTCTTATCTTTCATTCCCTTATTTCCACGACCTCCTCACACCTCCCTTTCTGTTTTCCACTTCTATTAATCATTTCAGCAATTCCTTTCCATCTTCCTCTGTTTTCTATCCTATAATTATCTTGACATATTCTAGCCTTATTTTCCCTTTAATACACTATTAATCTATTTATACTTGATTCCTTATAGCATTTCTACTAAAGCCATATAACTTCATTCCAACATTTTTCAAACATTCATTATTTTTACAGTATTTCTATAAATAGTCTTAAACTTTTCCCAGTCTTCTTCCACCAGCTCTTCTCCCTGGTCTCGGATTTCTGCCAGTCGTTTCCGCCAATTCCATATAGTCCATCAACTTCATCTGCCATTCTTCCCGAATGGATAAATCTTGTGTCTTCCAGTACTTCACAATGAGTATTCTTGCTGCTATTGTTGCATACATGAGAGAAATTCTATCCTTCTTTAACACCAATTGACCGACCATGCCCAGGAGAAAGGCCTCTGGTTTCTTCAAAAGGGTATATTTAAATACCTTTTTCATTTCGTTATGAATCATCTCCCAGAGTGTCTTAATCCTTGGGCATGTCCACCAAAGGTGAACTCTAATCCTCAAATTCGTCTGTTTTTCCTTAAGTTCAGTCATAGCGAGCGTCAATTTATGTTCATCAAATTGCCTCTGTAGGGCTGGGGCTCTCTTTCTCTTTCTCTCCAGTTGTGTTTCTGTACCTTCAACAGCAACAGCTTTTTCCTTGACTTCCTCCACAGCTTGCCATATCAAAATAGGTTCTTGTATCAATTTCTGGGTGGTTTCTGTATTGGTATTGTCCATACTCCCTGCATTCAAGTCAACCTCAACAATTGAAACATCCACTTTCGCATTTATCATGTCCATTTTCCTGTGAAGCTGATCCAATGAGTCATTTATCTTATATAATGCAGCCACCAAAGCCTCTTCTGTCGACATTCCTCTTGGTTTCAAATATACTAGTACAAAGACAGCAACAAAAAGAACAGGAGGGCCTAATAATAGACCTCTCCTGGATTGTTACCAAGTCCTCCCAGACCTTAATGTTTTACCAACAGTTGACTGGTCTGTTTTTCCTCTTCCATTTACCATAACATTTGAAAGATTCAAGGTCAGTCCCAGAGTCTCACGGTTTTTAACTTGCAGCTGGAAATTCCCCTAGTCCAACTCTTGTAAATCAACAAGTTTCAAAGGCTTCCACTAGGGGGAAACAGTTTCTATTTGTAATAGTCAATAGTATCCTCTTTTAAACAATCCAAAGTTAGTTTCAAATTAGTTTCAATTTTCAGTTACTTTTACTCCGTTTTAAAGCAGCCAGAGACAGTAGAAACAATGTATTTCTCTTATTTAGCTAGCTGTCAATGAACGTTCTAAGTGCTGTCAATGAACATTCCAAAAGACGTCAGTCCTACTAGCAGCCCGTTTCCAGGGTCAGAGCGGCGGTGTTTTAAGTCTCTTCGCTCTCTCCCGCAGGCATACTCAATCCGCAACTTCCCCCTCTCTTCTCCTGCCTCCAAGAGGGGGTTTAATGTTCTTTACTGTTGGAAATTTGATCTTTTACAAAAGACCTTCCAAGACTCCAGCTTGCAACTTCATTGCCTCAGTCTATTTACAAAAGGGGAAGGCGGACTTCCTGTTTTGAACCTCCCCATTACGATACCAAATTAAACTTTTAGAAATCCAATTCTTCCGTTTCAGCTCTACTCACGGGTAATTACTTTAAAGTCAAATTGTCCACAGGAAAAGGTCAGCGCTCTCCGGCAACAGCTATGCGGCTTCACTCCGTGGAAGAAGCAGACGATTCGATGCACCCCACGTCGCTCCAGAGCCCCAAAAACCGGGGTTCCCCGCGAGTGGGGGAGTCGCAAAAGGTGCCCGCCGAATCCCACGTTCACAGGCTTCTCCCGCCTGCGATTTTAACGGGTCTTCGCCTTCGCCGTGGCGGCTAGACCCAGATTTCCACGGAGCAGATTCCTCCCGGTCAGAGGAATTCTGCCATTACCGGAGGCGCCTCCCCCGGAAGTACTAGTGCCCTTGGTTCCAAGTCCCAGGACAATCTGCTGCTGTGCTCTGGACCTCAACCCCACACCTCATCTTGAAGGTCCCAGTGCTCAGACCATAAGTGTGAACACAGGCTTCGTTATATTTCTCACAGAGGTGGGATGGGGAAGCACAACTCTCAGGAAGAAGAAACCATGAGTCTCTTGGACTACATTCCCTTCTGCTTCTCAAGCATATGCGGAGGAAGAGCATACAGAAAAAAGTGTCTATGCACACAAAAGCGCATCTCCATATTTTGCACCATAGGCCACTACTGTTTTTCTCTCACCATTTCAACAGAGTTTTCAAAACAGCCCCCAGAAGGAACTAGCACATTTCCACAGACATATGAAGAAAGATCAATATTTTACCAGCTTCAGCTATTGTCAGTTTATTTTCCCATGGAAGGTGTGTGCCAGTGATATCTTTCAATATACGGATTAATTTGAAATTGATTGAACATGTTTCCACTTTCCTACTTTATGCTCCTTATATATCTTAGCAAAGATTCATGAGTCTGTCATCCCAATGAGTATAACTGCTATCTTCTTTGGCTGCCAGACGTAAAATTTCAAGGAAGACCTTCTGCAAGATGTCTTTGTTGTTGTTCACTCATACAAAACCTATTAATAAGCCTATACATTTTGTCAATAAGATAAACAATATTATCTCTCACAAGCTGAGTTCATTACTAGCTTTCACGGTGTCAGCATTTAACCAAGCTCTAACAGATGAAGTAGGCAGAGCATTAAAGAAACAGATTGCCTGTGCATAAGGTGGCAATGAGGGCAAAAGTGATGTGGCCTTTAGATTTGCCAAAAATAAGAATAATTAAAGATGCCCTCAAAGTCCAGCCATCCTAAAACTGAAGCCAAGCCAGTGGGGGGAAAAACTAGGGAAAAAGTGGATCCAGAACAACACTGAACAGCTCAATCTTAGCTGCTATAGCTCTGCTCAGCATTTTAATACATATTTATTAAAGTGAATTGGCACATAAAGCATTTTTCATTTGCATTAATGGTGCTGAATTGCTGACACTGCCAACAGTGATCCCGTTTTTCACCATAACCATGTCAGAGAGTCTGGACAGTGTACATAGGGATCTTCTTGTCTTGGTGTGTGCAGGGATCTTCTTCATTTCTGTGGAAATCCCAGTATTCGTTCATCCCATTTTTATTCTATTATTTTTCTGCTACTTCCATCACATATAGAACTTCTCTAGACTTTACATTGCCGTGTCATATTAACTTCATTTTAATTGGAATCAACATGCAACTTTTGAAATGGACTCTGGATAATATTTTCATTGAATATTGTATCCAAATGTTTTTCTCATTTTTTAAAAAAAGTTTATAAACAGCCCTGTTTCCTTCTCCCACATTGTTCTGTAAGAATTGGTCTCATCAATATATTTATTAATAATACTTACACTTGTGACAATACCTCTTTAACTGTTCATCACATTTACTATTGCAGTTCTAAATCTTCTGCTAAATGCTTTTGTAATCTGTTTCGATATAGTCGAATTAGTCACAATATGCCACTTGAATAGCTTTATTATATATTTTATATATATGTGGATTTTTGCACTGTTATAAAGAAAAGAAGAAACACAGCTATCAGAACCTCAAGTGTGCAGGAAGCAGATACATCTTCATAATCAAAACCTGGCAAGGTGTCCACACACATTTGTTGTTCATGAGTTGATATGGAACGTTCTGCAGTTGCTTTCTTCAAAGAAAGAGAAGCTTACAAAGGTAGGCCGATTTTCATAAGTACTGAATATTCTATCAGAATCCCCCTGCGGGTTGAAAAAGAATGGATAAACATATTCCAGACAGATGACGGGTGAAAGAGGAATATTAGAGTGGCAAAACTGGTGAGAGATAAAAGGAATGATGAAAGGAAGATGTGGGAGAGATGTCAGTGACATCAGATCAAAACACTTTGACCAATGTTTCATTTTGCTTTAAATAGTGCAAAAAAGCCCCCCAAAACCTGAATAGCAGTTGATAGATGGTATATTCTTAAATTGCTCTGATGACTTCATTAGCAACAGTCTAGATTAGAAGAATGGTCCTGTGCATTACATGCAGAGAATTCTCATTTCTCTGAAGGATTTGGAAGACTTAAGTCTCTCTCTCCAATTACTTAAGAAAGAATATGGGGAAAGTTTGAGAGCAGTGCCAGATTTACGTATAAGCTAAACAAGCTAGAGCTTAGGGCCCCACTATCTTGGCGGAAGGAAAAACAACAACTGGGTGTACATTTCCAAAATATAAGATAAAAAAATACCTTGATTAAATACATATTTTGTTATGTGCAAATGGCTTTAGATACCTATTGGGTCCATAAATTACCATACAGCATATATTCAACACAAAAAACAGCTAGAAATACAAAGGGCCCCATTACCTTCAGTAGCTTAGGGCCCCATCAAACCTAAATCCGGTCCTGTTTGAGAGGCATTCAGATCAATGGAGTTTTGCTAAGTGAAGTGTGTATGCATATAAGTAACCTGTTCACTGGGTCATTTTCTTTTTTATTTTGTTCTGCCAAAACATTTTTTAAAAAAACATGCAATGAATTTTATGTTTAAATGCAGTTTGGGTGGTCCGTGGAGACAGCTGCAGTGGTTTCCACACCTATAAGTGTATGTACGCATATAATAAATTACCACATTTGAAGTGGTTATATGTGTCAGTATCATCATGCAGTAGTATTGGACATGACCCTGCACACAGCCACTTTATATGGGATGAATACTGCTTGGGGGAGTGAGAATTTGGAGTGAACAAATGTCAAGAGGAGGGATGCTTAAGCTCCCTCACACCTGCTATCTCTCCCCTCAAAATCATTTCCCCAAGTGTCTTTTTCCCCATGTGAATGTGGTGTAGGTTTGGGGAAATCCTCTGCATACTAGGCTATGCAAATGATTCAGTTTTTCAAATGCCAACACAAATTATCAAGCAGTGGCAGCATGCCAACAGCTGAATCCTGTGCATGGTGGCAGAAGCACAAAATGGCTCGCCATGGGCTGGAAGCTAGCATGGGCAAGCTTTCCAAACACTGTCCCTGTGGTTATACTATGCCCAGTGGTCATATGAATAGGTCCTAAGATAATTATGTTGTTAGCAGCCACAGTGACTATATGCGAGGAACAAAACATTACAGGTAATTTTGACGACGTACGTACAATCTAACGGGATGCTTGTACATAAGTGACAGGCACTTCTTTTTCAAATCCTTCGCCAGGACTGTGCTATGAATACTTTATTAGTTGTAGACAGATTGGCTTGTAGACATGTTCTTATGTTCTCTGTTTAAAACATTATGTAACCCACAAATATATCTCCTAGCTGGAGGCAATTTGACATGTGCCGATCTCATGCTGCCTGCAGTAATAAGAAAGACCAAATATAGACAGCTTTAAGAAGTGACATCTTTTAGGAAGAGGAAGTAATAAAGTATTCTCCACTCTCAACTCCAAGATTTGTACCTCCCCTACATTCTGCTAATAAATCATGCCCAGAGCAAGCCTGATGATCTTGTTCAAATTGCCAAAATATAGTGGTGTACAATATATTTGTTTGGATCAGGATTGACAGGGGAAATAATGTTGGGAATTAATTTGTACAACACCATGTCAAATTGTGACAGCACATTTGTCCAATGAGCTAGTTTGATCATTTTTAAACCTAACCATTCCAATATTTTTGTGTCATCTAACTTTTCCTTCCACATTTCAGTTTCTAATAGTTCTTGATCTAAACTAGATATTGTTACAACACGCACACAAAACACCCACTCTCAGAACTAATCTAAGTTTGCTTCCTGTCAAAAAAAGAAGTCACAAACTTTGACCCACTACTTCATGCCTCAAATATGCATGGTCTAGACATCTATATCAGAACATCACTATTCCCAGGTTGATGCCAAACCTTTTCTGAGCTGACATGGAAAGCAGAATGTCCATATGTTAATAAACCATATAGGAGTAGAAAATATAGCTAGAAAAACTAGCTCCTCTTTTTTCCCCTTGCTTCTTCAAGAAACAAACACTTGCTGACTTTGCTTTAGTTCAGGGTAGATGGTGGAAGTTGGATTAAGTTATGGCTATGTACTATATAGTACAGATCAGTATCAAAATTAGGGCATCAGCTGGTATTAATTTATATGGAACTCTGTTATGTCAAACAATGGTGCCTTTCCATCATCCCAAGACAAAGGACTGCTAGCTATATTTATTTGATTGCAGAACATAAAAATCCAAGCATACTATGGAGCTGAAGGTGCAGAATGCTTTTGTGACATGTCTAAAAATGGGCCTTTGAACATGATTCATTATCATGCCCTGATTCTTGTCTCTAAATTTAGGATTTGAATCCATTTTTGAGCATCACTGTGGTTGAAATAGGGGACACTTTGGAGATATGCACAGAAAGCCCATCTGATGAAGGGCTTAGAGCAGGCATCCCCAACCTTCGACCCTCCAGATGTTTTGGACTACAGTTCCCATCAACCCTGACCACTGGTCCTGTTAGCTAGGGATCATGGGAGTTGTAGGCCAAAACATCTGGAAGGCCGCAGGTTGGGGATGCCTGGCGTAGAGGGTCTGACTAGGACCTAGGATACCAGAGTTCAAATCCTCACTTAGCCAGGAATCTCACTGGACCAGTTACAGTCATACCTTGGGATAAAGACGCTTTGGGTTAATTTTTCTCAGGTTGCATCCTGCAGTGACCTGGAAGTAACGGAATGGGTTACTTCTGGGTTTCACCACTTGCGCATGTGCAGACACTCAGAATGATGTCACGCACATGCACAGACGCGGCAAATCGTGACCCACGCACGCGCAGATGCACAAACGCGGGTTACATTCTGTTCATGATGCAAACGGGGCTCCAGAACAGATCCTGTTTGCATCCAGAGGTACCACTGTACTGTCTCTCAGCCTAACCTTCCTCACAGGGTTGCTGTGGGGATTAAATGGGGAGGGGGAAAGCCACACACACTACCTTGAGCTCCATTGAGATGGGGGTGTAAATGCAATAAGTAAATAAATGTGATAAGAGCATAGAGCCATAGGCGCACTGAGAAAAGGGATTAACATACTTCTAAATCACAGCAAATGCTCAAGGATGGTGTTGAGAATTGTGTGGTGAACTGGGCAACATTAATTGGCAGTGTAGCCAGAACACTAGATCCTAAATCAAAGTAGAATGCCATTGCTGAAAGTTGCTCACTCATTCTTTCATTCTTTCTTATTTCTGCAATTTACAGGTATACAACTGTAGTGCTTTGGCAAATGTTTTAGGTGGGATTGTAGCCACTGGTGGCTTCTTCCCATTGCGACTGGTAGGGCAGAAAGCAGGGAGCCCAAGCTGTCTGTAGAAGTAGAGCTAATGACAGGCAGAGCCAACTAATTCTAGGTTTGTCCCTATCTTCCTCCTTGTTGATTTTTACTAGGGCAACACTAAGGAGGAAAAAGCTGATTGGCAGTACCACCCCCTGGGCTGGTTTTAAAACAAAAAGGTATATGGGTGGTGGCATAGGGCAGAGTGAGTTTGGTGGGGCAGTGCCCTATTTGCCCTAACAAACTAGGCTCCAGTGATTGTAGCTGAGTCATCATGCGCATGATTGACATGCAAAGGCTGCCCCGCATCACTGGCTAAATGAATTTCAGTCAGGGATGAGAGCGAGTCTTCCTGATACCCACTCAGCATGAGCAACGACAGTGGGCTAGAAAGGCTAATGGTCTGGTTAACTTGATGGGCTCATAGGTCTTTCCTCCAGTCCAATACACAATAGATTTATTTTGTAGATTTCCATTCCCTCCCCACATCAAAATAGTTTAGATAAGATATGCACAAGTGCAGAGAAATGCTAATGTTTCCCCACCTCACCCCCCAACTAAATATATGCAAAGTATAGTGGAAAATTACAGCTGAACTAGACCTAGTGCAGGCAAGCTAAGATTCAGCTACTTGATTTGGGAATTATTTGGATAAAATGTGAATATTTTAGGTGCTAATATCAATCCAGACAATATAAAAATGCTGAAAGGCTATTGTGTGAATACTGGAGTAATGTATTTGACTAAGAATATATATTCAAGCAAAATTTAACTGAGGTGCTGGGGTAGCGGTGGTCATAATTCTGGGGTTTCAAACCGCACAGAGCTTAGGTCAGCTGCTCTCTGTATCCTTCAAGAACATAGTATGCACTCCATCTCCCCATCAGTCCATAGATGCCCTGATCAGCTCAGTTGGTTGAGCATGAAAGTCTTAGTTTCAGGGTCATGGGTTCAAGCCCCATGTTGGGCAAAAAGTTTTCTGCATTGCAGGGGATTGGACTAGACAATCCTCATGGTCCCTTCCAACTCTATGATTCTATGATCATAGGGAGTAGGTAGATAAACCAGACTGTCTCTCCACCCTAGCTCTTTGTCCTGCCTCAGTAGGCAGCCTCTGCCTTCTTCAGGCTTCCATTACCCTTTCTGTTGCTGCATGCATGCCATACAGTTAAAGCACCCCAATAATAATAATAATAATAATAATAATAATAATAATAATAAAATTTGTAGTTTGTTAAGGGTGCTGGGAATTATAGCTTGAGGAGGGGTAAATAGAAAATAACACCAGACTCAACCACATTAATATGTTATCATATGTGTGACTTCTCAAATGTAAGTAAATTCTGATTTCCCCCCTCTCCTTCTCTGCTACCCCCTACTTCCATTCAGTGATAAGGCACTGACATCTCTTTAGTTTCCCAAGGCTCTCCACTATTGTAGTAGAGATTCAGATGTGATCTTTGGTTTCCATGATGTCATGCTCATTCAAAGCACTTCCCCACCCTCAAAGAATTCTGGGCATCAGACTTTCTTAAGGGTGCTGGAAATGGCCGCTTACCATCTTGCCGGTGAGCAGCTGTTGAGGCTCAACGTGGTGCCTCCTCTCCCTCCCGAATGCGTAGCACCATTTTAGGTTGGCGTCCCCTCCAGCCACCATGGAGGCTCATGGGTTCCCACCTAAACCCATCCTTCAAATGAGCCAATCCATGGCGGCCCTGGGGAGGGGCATGACCATCTACTTAGCCTGGCTGACCACTCAGCACAGCATCCCATTGGCTGGGAGTGTCACCCATCCTTCCCCTCCCTTCATTAATAGTTGATTACTGCTCTAACCATTTCTTTTCAGCTAGCCGGGCTTTGCTGTGGTCACAACTTTGGTGGTTTAGGTCTTGAGCAGAATCCTATAGTCTTTCATCCAATTGGTGTGTGGTGAAGTGGTGACTCACCCACCCCATTCCCTGCAGCGGCCTTAACAGGGAAGAAGAAGAAGAAGAGTTTGGATTTGATATCCCGCCTTTCACTCCCCTTCGGGAGTCTCAAAGCGGCTAACATTCTCCTTTCCCTTCCTCCCCCACAACAAACACTCTGTGAGGTTAGAGCGGTCTGGAGGGAAGTCTCTGTTCAAAGAGCCAAGTGTATAAGGCTAGTGGGCCATAGAGCTTCCCTCAGCATTTGGGGCCATCTGTGTTTTGTGATGGTTCCACCCCCAAATAGACCCTGTCATTCCTCAGTTCTTCAGGAGGGGGCGGGGCTGAGAGAGATACACACCCAATGCCTATGGCAAAACTTCCTACATCTGAAATCAATAAAGTCATGGCCATTTAAATCCCAGACAGCTGTTGTGTCCACTCAGCATTTAGGTATGTCGGGAGGGGGGACTCTGCGGCTGGGCACACAATTGCAACTCTGTGCAGGGCAGACATGCACAGAAGGCATTGTGAAACCACTCATTTTACAGAAGGGAGAGACACACAACTGACATCCAGATAACTGCAGCCTGCCATCTTTGCAGCAACAACAGCAATGCGCCTGGGAGGCAGAATGGGCCCCTCTTCCAAATATTAACTTTCACAACAGCTGTGTTTGCATCTGCTTTACTAGACCTTCCAGTGCTCCGTGTTTCTAAGCTTTCCCACCTGACAGAGCACAACTTTGCCCCAAAGCCCATGATGACCATGTGAGGAATATATCATCAATGCTTCTCCTTTTCAGAGCAACTGGTTTGCAACAGGAAGTTTAACCACCTAGCAGGTCTGAACTGAAAGGTGAAAAAGCTCACGTCATCTTTCAAATCACATCCAAGACTCCTTACCCAGAAGCTTTCCTTCCAATGAAGATTGTGTATCTGTGTGTCCATTCAGTAAGAAAAAGCACTTTACATACGTGCAGAGGAACTGAAATTATTACTTCCCAATGTCCACAGCTGATGCTGAAACAAAGACGTGGACAGGAAGCTTTTAATCTAAGCGCAGGCTCCATTTTTGCCATGAGAGCAAAATCAAAGGAAAACAAGAAGGGCCAGTGTGATATTTATTTCCAATTGGTTACATGTGCTGAAACTGACTTAAACAGTACTGGCAGATGAGTAAGTACAGGATTGCTGCATTTTGAAAGAAATACAGCCATTGTGAGCCAGTGTGGTGTAGTGGTTAGAGTGTCAGGCTTGGACATGGGGGTTCAAATCCCCACCAGGCCATGAAGCTCACTAGGTGACCTTGGGCCAGTCACTATCTCTCACCCTAACCTATTTCACAGGTGTGGGGATGAGAACTATGTATGCTACCTTGAGCATCTTAGGGAAACAGGTGGGTAGAAATGCAAATAAATAAATAAATACAATTTCTTATAATGCGTAAGATAATGTTTGCAAAGGTAAACACCTGTAAAACCATATAAACAAAATCTAAGGCAAATGTTTCCCACTTCCAAGGCTAAATGATGTATCCAGAAAGCCACTGCATGTTTGATCCATCTGGGAACCGGCCCAAATTCAGCTTTGTACTTGGTCAATTCTGAGCCATTTGGAGGTACCTTAAGGCGCTTAAAGAAAAAATCTAGCAATGACAGTTAAGGGAGATAAAATGTGTAAATGTATTTTTTTTATTAAAAAAAACAACAACTTATGTTTTAAACATGCAAAAGGCCTCCAGCTCTTCCACGAAAACAGTCTCCTCTGTGATATAGTCAACGATAACAAGACAGTATGGAATAGATATATTAAATGACAAGTTACAAACTCTGTTAGGGAAAACACAGCAGTGAAGTCATGGCTTAAGCGATGTGTGCTCAGCCACTTGGCATGTGGCAAGTATAACAGCCACTGGTAGAAGGCTCATTAAAATTCAGAAGTTTATTCCAACTATGCATGATATCATAGATGGAAACAATATGTGATAATCCAAATGAGCCAGCTAATGTGATGCTGCAAAGACCCACTTAGGAGAAGTGCTTTAATTAAATGACATTTAATTATTATAATTAGATACTAAACAGTCTCGTTGGAAGGAAATTGCTTTAGAATTGTGTTATTTTTGGTCAGTGTCTTTGGAATGATGTGCTATAGGGCTACATGTGAACAAGGTAAGCATACGATTGCTAATGGGCTCATTCTGTGGCCACTTCTAGTCCTTGGCGTTCTGAAATCTGTTTCAGCTTCTTTGGCTTACAGGACTTTAATTTAAACTGGCATAAGCATTTCAATAAACACATATATACACATGTAAAAATCAGGGCACAGAGGCGGTTTGGGAGGGGGCAATGATGTTTTATCAGACAAGGACCCCCAGGAGTCCAGCTATATAGATTCGGACGACCACCATCCCTCCCCTGGTATCCGCTTAGCAGGATAATCAGGGAACACATTTTTTAAAAATAATTTTTTAATTAATTTTCTCAAAATTATAAACAAAACAAACAAATAAACAAACAAACATGGATCATAATCTTCTTAAAATTACACTTATTAACATTGTTAAGTGATTTCCTGGCTTTCCCTTGGTTGAATTTTCATGCACTTCCTTTTAACGGTTTTCCAAATCAAAGTTCTTATGAAATTTAACTTAAACATTAACATCCTTATATCCTTTAATTTTAAAATTAAACATATTGATTCATCACTTAACTTATATGAAATCCTAAGCCAATATTGCAAGCTATTTCCAATTAATTTAATTTTACATATTTAACTAAATAATCATTAAATTGTATCCATTCTTTCTGATACTCCTCCTCCTTCTGGTCGCGGACACTTCCGGTCAGGTCAGCTAGCTCCGAAAACTCCATCATCTTCATCTGCCATTCTTCCACCGTAGGTAATTATTGCGTTTTCCACTTTTTCGCTAATGACCGCTCCCCGCTTAAAACAGGGGGCACCCTTTGCGTGGACGCACACAGCCCTGGATCTGGAGCGGCCCCATCAGCATAGGCTTGGCTTTGCCTTCCCTCAGGTGGGATACATGGAGGTCCCCGCCTACCTCAGTCAGTTGTCCAATCCCACCTGGGGGAAGCGTTGCCAAGGAGACCAGGCCAGGTAGGGGGAGGGATTACCTGCCCACACAATAGAGGGAGGATCTTACCTGGGAATCCTCACTTGGCTCCAGAGCTTTTTTGCTAATAAAATTCGAATAGCAGTTGTGGCATACAAAAATAATTTAATATCTTTCTTAGGCAATTCCAAACCTGTTATTCCAAGAAGAAAGGCCTCTGGTTTCTTTATAAATGTATATTTCAACATTTTTTTCAATACATTATAAATCTTTTCCCAGAAGTCTTTCACCTTGGGGCCTTTACCTTGTCATACCATAAATATGCATGCCAACCAAACACATTGTCAAAGCCCTCCAAATTTAGTACGTCTGTATCGTCTAATAGCATCCATTCTTTAATCCAGTAGAGCGCTGCTGCTTCAAAATAAATTTTTAAATCTTGCAGGGAGAATCCCCCTCTTTCTTTAGTATCAGTAAGCAGTTTGTATTTAATTCTGGGTTTTTTCCCCCTGCCAGATAAATCTAGATAGAGCTTTCTGCCAATCTTTAAAACATTTTGCATTATCTATGATTGGGAGGGCTTGGAACAAAAAAAGCATCTTCGGCAGCACATTCATCTTAACCACTGAAATCCAGCCCATTAATGACAATTTTAAACTTGACCATATCTCCAAATCTCTCTTAATTTCATTCCATAGTTTCTCATAATTATCTTTATACAAGTTCAAATTTTCCCCAGACAAGTTCACCCCCAAATATTTAACTTTTTTCACAAAATCTAAGCCCGTCTTTTGTTGTAATAATTTTTTTCCATCATTTTCCAGATTTTTCTCTAATACTTTGGTTTTGCTCTTATTTAGTCTAAATCCTGCTACCTGTCCAAACTCTTGTATCAGCTCCAGTGCTTTAACTGCTCTGGAGACTGGATCTTGTAGTGTCAATACTAAATCGTGTGCAAAGGCTTTTAATTTATATTGTTTGCATCCTGCTGTAATACCTTTAACTTGTTCATCCTTTCTAATCATACTTAGCAAGACCTCTAGGACTGAAATAAACAGCAGAGGGGAAAGTGGGCACCCTTGCCTGGTTCCCTTCTCAATTCTAATTTCCTCCAAAACCACATTATTTACAATAATTTTAGCTTTTTGTTCCTGATAGATCACTTTAATATCATTTAGAAAATCTTGGCCAACATCCATACTCTTGAAATTATGTAATATAAAACTCCAAGATACATTGTCAAATGCTTTCTCCGCATCAATAAACATTAACATAGCGTTACAACTCTTTCTTGCTTCCAACTTTTTCAAGATATCCACAATATTTCTAATATTATTTTTCATATGTCTTCCTTGTGGATATACTCAGATAAAACCTTCTTTAGCCCGTTAGCCAATATACTTGCAAAAATTTTGTAATCTACATTGATTAAGGAAATTGGTTTGTAATTTTTAACATTAGATCTATCTTGGCCCTGTTTGGGAATCAGAGTAATATAAGCTTCTTTCCAGGTTTCAGGTGCTTTGCCCCCTCACAGATTCATATTAGATACTTCTACCAGAGGTTGAATAAGCCAATCTTTCAGAGTCTTATAATATTTCGCTGATAGACCATCGGGTCCTGGTGCCTTGCCAAGTTGCATTGAATTTATCACCTGTTCCACTTCCTGTCTTGTTATTAAACCTTTTAGTAGGATATTTTTATCTTCCGGAATCTACTGCAAACCATTAACCTTGATAAATTGCTCAGTTTTTACCAAATCCTCTTTATCCTTTTTATACAGTTGTTTATAATACTTGTAAAAACATTTTCTTATGTCTGCAGGGTTCTCTACAGATTTTCCTTCAGTTACAATGTTTGTGATAGTACTTTGCTTTTGTCTCTTCTTTAGCTGCCAGACCAGGGAACACATTTTAAATGGGGACTACAGTATTTACTCAAATCTAATGTTCACCTTTTTTGGCTGAATTATGTTGCAAAAATTAAGGTGCACATTAGATTCAATTACACATTTACATTCGCCAACAAATGCTTTTTTTTGTTTTCAAGGTTCTGAAAACTGAGGTGCGCATTAGATTCGATGGCACATTAGACTCGAGTAAATACGGAATGTTGGCCTATTCACACCTACTGGGAATTCTCATCCTGGTAGCAGTACACATTTTGGCGGAATTATTCTGCAACTCTAGGGTGTGCTTTTGGTCTGACAACCAGGCAGGGGTGAGGGTTCTGGCAAAGGAGTCTTCCTGGACAAACTGGGTTCTCCACTTGTTATGGGCATATGTGCTCCACTGCTTGCTGGCTCGACAACAACATAGTGGATGCTCTGTATCAATTTCAGGAGGATCATTTCAAGCTCATTTGCCTGGGGCTCAGCCAGAGCCAAACCTCTTTCCCAAGGAAATGTAGGCACTTGGAGTTAGTGTTGTGCATCCCAGGGTGTACTGTAACCTTGGTTAATCCTGCCATAATAATCAGCCAGCAGGTGGGCTGGTTGATTCAAGATACACACCTAATGCCTGTGCCAAACCCTGTTGATATCTGTAATCAATAAAACTGTGGCCTGTTAAAATCACATATGGCACACTGTGCAACTGTCCTGTTTTAAGCAAGACACCCCAGAATTACAGAAGCTGCCATGGCTTCTGACCTCAATCCCGAATGTCCCATTTTGGCTCCTGCATGGAGAGCATAGAACCAAAAGACACACCTGCGTATTGCCTACTCTTCTTCCTCCTTCTGCTGTCACGTTCCAGCTGATGTACTTCTGGAAGCCAGCGGCACATTTCCGGAAGCTTCTGGAAGTGCAGTGGTGGCTGCAGCAGTGGCAGAGGACACATCGGTGGTGGAGACTGTGGGCGAATGTGCGAGGAAGGGAGGGAACCAAGAGACAGGGTGGGGCATGAATGAGAGAGGGTACAGCCTCCAGCAAAGATGTGTCCTGATTTGCCTCACTCTGGTGTTGGAAAGTATGATGTGGTTGTCCTGTGTTTATTCCAATTTCACCATGCTTAGGCTCTGCCACCCCCAGCTTCAACACACTTGGGCCCTGCAAGAGAGAGAGTTTGTGCTACAAAGGATATCTGGGCTTGAGGCCTCTCCACAGTGAGCCCCAGTTGCGCCTCTGGTGCTGTAAGGGTGGAGTTGGGCTGGGTCCCGGCTGCGTGGGTTTCCCTGCTGCAGCTCCAATAGGAGGGTTTCCGCTGGCTCTTGGTGCGTGTAGCCATGGGCACAGCTCAGGCAGAAGCTTACATTCAGGAACAAGCAGCATTTGCTTTTCAAAGAAACAACCATCTCATATAAGTAAAATAGAAAATGAAAAGGAAGAGGAAGAGAATGGAAACAATTCCTCCGTGAATCAGGCATGTTCTGCATTTAAAACTCAGTCAGGAACATATAGGAATGGATTCAGCCAAATAATTCAAAAATATGCACTCTATATGCAGATACCATTTTAGATTTCAGTGACAGGAGACAAAAGCCCTCTTCAAGCATTACTAAATAGCAAGCAGGATGAGCGCAGCTGCTCCGCCTCCTCTATCACCTCTGCTTCTCAGAAGGCGGGAGCCAGGACTCTTCACAGTCTGGGAAGGCTCTCCATTCATTTTAGCACCCTGCATAAACACAGATAGGTTTAGTTTGCATATTTTGTTGTGAATTAAGGCTCATTCGTTTAAGTTATACGTATGTTGCTCTTTGGAATTTTGGATTCAGACTGTGTTCAAAAAGGTGAATCAGGACTTTCATTAGGGGGCAAAAGTGTTGCACATGCATAAAATCAAGAATTAATTATAAGAAAGTGATATAATATTTTAAGAGCATTTGCTATGGTTCTTTACTTTAAACTTCATAATAACGATAATTTCATAAGCACGTGGCCATAACTTCAAAAACCCCATGAAACCCCAAAGGGATTTGTGTCATAGGAATGCAGATGTTGTACGTAGGCCTCGTATTATTATCAGCGTCATTATTATTATTATTAAACTCAGGCTAAAATTAGATGCTGCTAGAGTTACAGAACTGTTGCTGAACATATCAGCTTTGCATCTCATGCTGTGTCCTTTCCCTAGAGGTCCAGTGATCCGAAACTCATGATGATGATGATCATACCCCACCCATGTGGCTGGGTTTCCCCAGCCTGTCTGGGTGGCTAGAGAAACCCACCAAGTTATTATGCTCTGGGCCTCTCCGCCTCCAATGAGCAGGAACGAAGAACAAGGAGGGTTGCATATAGCACCTGCAAAATTTTATTTTAAGTCAAGTATGTAAAAACAGTGACTTGGACAGAGATTTAAGTGTTTCCAATGAATATGTGGTCTGATGCATGGCAGGCTTTGTACCCCACCCAATGTAAAGGACACTTCTGATTCTATATACTCCGTCTTATAGCTAGAAATGAAAGTTACAACTACCATACACTCTCCCCTGCCCCAGATACAGGTATATATGCTAAACAGTCTTCCACCACTTTTTTTAAAAAAATCTGATGCATTAAAAATATTTAAGGGACCATCCACCTTCAACTGAAGCTAGTAGCGAAACTCATTTCTTTTACTAGAAAAGGAATGCACTGTATAAAGGCAAATTGCAGACATTTAATGCAGTTCGAAGAGCTAATAATGGTGATATTTCTGGGTGAAAAGAATAATCCACATCTTTCCAGAACCAAAACCAGTTCTGAAGCAGAGAGGCACATAAATCCCGGGCAGCATGTAACAAAATAGGCCAGTTACTACTCCAGAGCCCTATTACAAATATTACAAAAGGAATATAATATGCAATCAGGGAAGAGCTGCAAAATCCTGATGGCATCGTAAAATGGAAACCTGAATCTTGTTTCATTTACAAGTATTGACAGGAAGAAATGCCAGTAAATGACCATCATTACAGATAAGGCAGATGCACTAAATGGGTAATTATTTTGGGAAGGAGTTTAATGGGTTACTTCCCTTCTTTTATTTAATGAACAACACCACTATTAAGTTAAACAATGCAGCAGAGAGTGTAGGTTTAAAATAAAGTTTAAAATAAAGAAGCCTATTTCCACACTGGGTTAAAAAAAATGTTGAAACCAAAATACAGGGAAATAAATAAACAAATAAGTTTTTCCTTTT